GAAGATAAGATTAAAATATGCCTTAGATGGATAGGGTGTGAGACAGATTGGCTTGAACTGGCTTGGGAAAGCATCCAATTGCGGACTTTTGCGAACAAGCTACTAAACAGATTTCAGGTTCACCGCACATCAAGAAACCCACAACTGTCAAGCAGAAAACAAAATCTTGTCTTAAGTCCGAAATGGGTGCTTGCCTTAAAGTCAGACTGGCCGACTGGCCGACTGACCGTCGGTCGTAACGTAACTTTGGCTCTGACTTTGAGAATAGTCAGTAGAGTTCCGCAGTTCCAAATGAGCAGTTAGTCGCTAGTGGAGACTGTAATAGACTGAGGACACTAGCCGGTGTGTGTCAGTGATCTGTAAACTGTACTTAGTGTGGTGCATACGGGTGGTCAATAAATTGAATATTCATTCCATAGCCCGCCTATAAGTCACGGGACAATATGAAAAACGAATATCTTTATTATTTTGCTTTATAAGGAAACCGTCTCCTGAATTACACTAAGGGGTGAAGACAGACTGAGAATGTTTGAGAACAGGGTGCTGAGGAGGATATTTGGCCTGAAGACAGATGAAGTGACCGGACGCTGAAAAAAGGGGCCTCGTGAGGAGCTTCCTAACTTATACTGTTCGTCAAGCACAATCACAATGACCAAATCATGGAAGACGAGATGGAGAGGACATCTGGCATGAGTGGATGAGAAGATGATTGCATATAGGATACTGGTGCAAAACCAGAAGGAAAGAAACCATTAGGAAGATAAAAAAAGACATAGGTGGGTGGTTAACATTAAAATGGATATAAAGAGAGACAGGATTGGGTGGTATGGACTTGACTGATCTGGCTCTGGATAGGGACCAGTGGAAGGCTCTTGTGAACACGGTAATAAATCTTCGGGTTCCATAAAATTTTGAGAAGTTCTTGAGTAGCTGCGTGACTGGCGGTTTCTCAAGAAGGGCTCAGCTCCATGACGTTAGTTAGTTACTCAGCTGGTTGATTAATTAGGTGTCTATTGAATTAACTACAGCCTTCCTTCCTAGTTTTATCACACGTTTATCACTAACGTTTGTTTACAAGCACGACTTCTTTTGCTTACATCATCCATACAGCATTGCACTCAAATTAAACTGTGTCAAATTTGAGTTCATGTGGGGCGTGGGATTCGAAAAAGGGGCAATGGGACAAGATATTCCCTGTCAGTGGATAGCAGTATCCACGAATTCAGTCGTAGCCTAGTCCAGAGGTAGAACCCTTTCACTCATTCTGAAGAAAGTGTTAACCCTCAAACACACACTGCGAAGGTAGTAGTACTGTTGTGGCCCGGTATTAAATGAGTTGAAATCCGAACAAGAAGTACATTTATCTCAGAGTTAAATAACTTGGCATGAATCTGTTTCGAATCTCACCCCCGAGGTCGGCTAAAGTTACTGATGTCATTCGTGGCTTCCCCGGTTCCGGAAGCCGAATGCGCAACTAAACAAAGTCTCCACCTCCCCGGTAGAGTAACCCAACCCAAAGTTTCATCTACGACAAAAGAAAAGCAGTTTGTAGTTGGACCCGATCCTAAGTCAGTTTTACATCATCCTTATCAACAGTCCTCGTTTCCCAGGGCCAATTTCTACACTTCCCTCCCGATTCATTATTTCAAGCCGCAGCCCTCTGAGAAGTTCTCTTCCTAAATTCTGTGTGAGAATCTCTGCTTCACCGCTCCAGCTCCGTACTTCCTCAGAAAACGTATTTGTTCTGAGCAGAGTCACGCCAGATGTACAGGTCAATGTGCACCTCGTTGCTTATTTTCCATACACCACGGCCGCTTCCTTCCACATCCTCCAAATTCGCCATTCTATATTGATCCTAACATTCCTCACTGCACGCTAAGTAACATCTACATCTCATATGAGCCTTGCCCGATAAGAATATCTCATATCGAAATATGAACAGATTTAGAAAACAAATTTATAGTTATTAATACCGTGACATGTGCCGTTGCTATGCAACGATCGCGAGAAGGAACATGCGTTGCTTGGTAATGACCGGTAAACACGTCAATGATATCCGGGTTATCGCTAGGCAACAGCCCGTAATAACAGCAGAGGGACTGTTGGAGGTGTTTTCTGTTGGGTCCGCCCCAAAGCTACATAGCGAGGATCTCAGGCCGGCTGGGTGCAGGTCAGGTGAAGTGAAGTAGTTGGATTTTTTTTATTGCTAATGGGGTGGGACTAAGTCCCTTGTACTGCGGCCACTTCTGGCCTACTGTACCAGCCCCAGATGATAAGTGAGGGTGATTGTCGAGCAATTGGTGGAATGAAGATTGGCAGGGGAAACCGAAGTACTCGGAGAAAACCTGCGCCAGCGCCACTTTGTCCACCACAAATCCCACTTGACCACACCCGGGATCGATCCCGGGCCGCCGCGGTGGGAAGCCAGCGACTAACCGCTTGAGCTATGGCGCGGCCTATACGGACTTTACTACAAGTTTCTTTTAAACACATTTTAATCGGCCTAACTAGTTTAAAGGGTACCCCAAACTATATCAGAATGTTGTAGAATACTTCCCTCCTAACTGAATCATAGACTTTCTTGAAGTGTACGAATAGCTGATGTACTGTCTCACTATACTCCAATTTCTTTCTCTAGTATCTGACGAATGCAAAAGATCTGATCAGTAATATTATATTTCAGCATCCTGTTACACTCACACAATATATATGGACAAATACCGTCTTAAGTGCAACAATTTTATTGTAGTTTTTACTTCTTTTCCGAGACCGGTTCTCACAGTCTCTTCGCTTGCGGATTTCTTATATTTTTCCTTCTACCCTGAAGATGGAGGCGATACGTTCCTCCGAAACGTCGGTTAACACCACATATACACGGTGCCAAATCCCAGAAGACTGCTTTCTTCATCACTGACCCTATGTACATTCAATAACAGAGTAGTTCCTCCACCTATTCAAAATGTTGTGGGAATCTGTAAGCAGATCACCATTCTCATCCTTCACTAAGTTACTTCTAGGCTGGTGACAACTCTTAAAGTCATTTATTTATTCCTCTATACAGGTCTCTACAATGTTCTTGTTTTTGCTGTTCATTGCAAGTTCATCAATTTTGTCTTCCAGATATTCCCTATTTTTATTTCTGAAATGCCTACTGGTTTCATGTCTTATATTGTCCAGATTATCCCCATTTATTTTGCTTGGATCCTGTAACCAATGTTATTTGGCTTCTTTCCTTTGATGTAATAATTCTGAGCATCTTTCGTCGAATCATGGATTACGCTTCTTCATTTCGTGATGAATTACACTCTCTTTGGATGAAACTCTATTAATATCCACCTCAGCGTCTAAGTTTTTTAAAGCTGCGAACGTATTTGAAAATTCAACACAATACCTCTCTTTGCCCTGTACCTCGTTTAATCTCTTGAGACTGAACCACTACACTCTGTGAGTTGTCTGTTTACTCACTGCGAGGGCCCCCCACCCTAACTTTTTCCACTACCAGATAATTGTCGGCACCACAATTTGCTGCTCTGAACGATCGGACATCAAGTGAACCTGAACGTCGCCTCCTGTCTATCAAAATATGGTAAATCTGGTTGTGACTCTTTCTTTCAGCAGATGTCCAAGTAAATTTATATAGTATTTATATAGTATTTTACCATGTGGGAACATCGTACTTTTGACAGTAAGACTTTTAGATGTGGAAATTTTTCCATTATCATTACTAATTTCGTGTAAACTCTTAATTCCCAACTGTTGGTTTGAAAATGTTTTCCCTACTTACTTCGGTAATGAAATCTCCTAACAAAATTTTCATATCGTATTTTGGGAATTTACAGAATACAGGTTCTAGTTTTTCAGTAGAACCTGTCCTTTACATCATCAATTTTTATTCTGTTGGGGTATGACCATTCAGAACAATATCACACCTCTTGGAAGTTGTACGACATTCTACCCTCGTAACTGCTGTTATGATTCTCTTATGAAGAAAACAAAACTGTAAACGTTATACAGTTGTGCAAAAGTCGATGGATAAATATTAGGGTCAACGCATTAAGTTTCATCATCCGCTGAAACAAAGTGAACGGAAGACAGAACAGGTGCTGCCATCTGCATATCTTCAGCTGTTACCTCACAAAATACTCGCATGGAGGGAGGAATTCGAACTGTGATTCACACACTTTAAAAAAAAATACACGGCAGGAAAAAACTCCTTAAAATAATGTGGCCAGTTATGTAATTCAGAAGGATATTCTATTGTAAAATTCAAGTTCGGTGGCAGATTAGGGGAGTTAGATGGGTTATAACGAAGATTGCTAACGTCTGGAATGTGTCGCCATGTAGTCTGGTAGATCATTACCAACGTTTCGGAGCAACACGTTTCGTCAGCGTAGCCGAAGAATCTTCAACGTGCTGTCTCGTTATTCATGGAAGAAGACTTTTCATGAAGATGGTGGCAGAATGTTCCTCCAAAATGGTAATAACAATCTATCACGTTCCCGAAAACAGTCACTGGTGAGAAAACCCTTATAGGTTAGAATGGTTTACTACATTAATATAGTCATTCAGGGAATATGTTTCCATTAAAGGGAAATGACCATGTGTAGCTGCACTCATCCGCACTCAAATATTCTGAATCACCACGAAGCAAATCAAGAGCTAGGATGCAAGTTTGAAAATTTCAGACGGTAACCGCCCCCTTCGACAATTGAACACTCTGTGAAGTACATACAGTCCTTACTGCATGATATGAGGACGCTGGTGTAGTTAATAAACAACTTCAATAAGACACTGACACGATTCCAAGCCGTCATTCCCCTGAGGCGACTAACGACATCTAACAAAATTGGGCGTTTAATATAGAGATACTTAACTGAAGTTTGTGGTGGTATCCTCGAACACCACGTATTTTGTTTCCTAAGTAAACTGTCAGCAAAAAAACACAAACGTAGGCAACAAACTTGGAATATGGAGACACCAATGTGTGGAATGCTACTTACAGGAGTGGAGCAGGCCCACCAGAAGAACGCTAGAACAAAGGCGCCGGTTGGACATCACTGCCATATCAGAACACATCCACTTCGTCCGGCGCACGAGATGTGAATGAAGTGGCGCATGAATGAGTAAGCGGAGTAAAGGGTAGGATGCAGAGGGGGAATTGGACCTGGCACCACACTTCCCCTCCCAGTCTGTCAGGAATGTCCGGGCGGACTGCGTACTACAAAGCACTGAGTAAACTAGTTTCCTTCACAGTTTTGTGGAACTTAAATGGAACAAAAATGCATTGTTATATTGGTCTTCTAAAGCTACATCTTCCCACGTTATGTTCCAAAAGTATTTGGAAAACTCTGTAATGACTTCAATGTGTTTTAATGTCTCCTAGTTTTAATGCAGTAACTGTTAAGTACGGTAAAGTCCCTGTGCTTAATTAAGCAGCTAGCCATATTTATGCCCCGACCGCAACACTCCCGACTGAACAATGCAGGCAGTGTCTGGGGGCCCGGACGTCGGTCGGGGTGCGGTGGAGAAGGGGAAACAGTTTGTGGCGAAGTTATGTTTGTTATCTTACACGTATGTTATGCGGGACATTGTCCTTGTCCAGTGATGAAGACTGGCTCTGACTATTGGACCCCAAATGAGTAGGATCCCCCCCCCCCACTTGCACACCTGATGATGAAGGTGGAACCAGTTTCCGAAGGAGGCCAATTAAGTGTTGACGTCCAGTAGTGTGAGTTACAGCTGTGGGTCTTATACTGTTCGCTACTATTTGTTCGAGTGAAAGACAAAGGTGTCCCCGCACTTAATTACAAAAGCAATATACCATAAAGACATATGGGGAGTGGAGGTATAGCTCCACATTTCTTGACCTCAGCACTAGATGGAGGTGTGTGGGCAGTTTCACACCCCGGCCGCTTTGCTCCCGGAGAAAGAGCCCCGGTACCCATTGACTAGGAGGCTGGGTGGGGCGGTCTGGACGATTTGGACAAGAAAAATTGCACTCCCAGTAGTCGAACCCGGGCCGAAGAGCCCGTAGCCCGTCGCTATACCGACTTCTGTTTATAATAAAATTATATTATTTGAACTCATTCGTACGTATAAAAAGTCTCTGTATTCACGATCAGTTCTCTGAAGCCCAATGGTCCTATGTGTTCGAGGTGTACCACCTGCCTTAACGTATATAACTGTTCATTATAACCTGCCAGTTATAACGAACAGCAACTAATTATTAAAATTAACATGCGTGCTGAGATAAATGCCAGAAGCAGCACTCAGGAGGTGACATACGGCAATTCTTGCCCGTCCCTCCGGATGCTGCCAAAGGCTTTTCCTTAGAAAATTTCTGTTTTGAGACGGCGTCAAATCTTTGCATCATTCTAGCTTCGGCATTTTGTGCAGCTCTTCATCTTCGAGTAAGAGGGCAACAGCCTCAAGCTCTGGCCATTATCACTCGCTGGCCTGAACAGGACGCCGTCTGCGTCTTAAGGCTCAAAATCGCAATGAACTCCGGAAATTACAAATACCTCCTAATTTTTAAACTAAGCCAGTCAGGAAAAATTAGGGAGGCAAACTGTTCTGAAGAGGGTTCCTGAGAGTTTCTGGACGTCAGAACCTCACGCCTCTGCAAACACTCGGATTTTACTTCTCAACGTATTGGGATGAAAATCCGCGCCCCTTTCCCTTCAAAATCTGAATATAATCATATTATATTATAAGTGAATTTACATGCGTTTCACGTATAATTTCCTTATAGGCCTATGATATCGACCAAAAATGGTCCCGCAATCGACAGGTTGAACATGCCTGATATAGTGTATGTCTACTGTAGCCATACTGTAGAGTCTTGCTTCTTCTTTGGACGTAGACTGAAGTTGTGGTTTATTAGCCATTGACGTCCTACATATATTATGTCAGCTACAATATAAAAGTAAGCCGGTCACGGTAGCCGAGCGGTCTAAGGCATGTACTATCTTCGCTCGCTTGGAAACCGGGATCGTGGGTTCAAATCCCACTCAGGGCATGGATGTTTAGTTTGTGTGTGTGCGTTTTTCTGTGTTTGTGTACAGGTAGAGGCCTTGCGACGAGCTGATGACCCGCCCAAGGAGTCCTACCGAATGTGTAAGATCTAGAGAAACCGAAGTGAACGGAGAAGTTCATGGAGGTAAGCCTAGGCCATCAAGACGTACAGGGGAGTAAGGGTATGACTCTAAACATTCTTGACCTCTACATTAGATGGAGGTGAGTGCCCAGCTTCAGGCCTCTGACGATTTATTCCCGAAGAAAGAGCTCCCGGCATCCATTGGGTAAAAGGCTGGGTGGATCTCAGACCCGGTCTGGACGCTATAGACAAGAGAAAAGCTCTTACCGCTCTCAGGAATCGAACCCCATCCGTCCATCCTAGTGCCTTGCACACTGACCTATTTCGACTTCTTTCTTAAACGATATCTTAAAACTGGTAAAACTGTCCCTCTGCTAGATGCGCAGCAGCTGCTAATGTTGTGTGCAGGGAGGTTGACGTATTCGGAGCCAGTAATGTTCTACCCAAACAAATTTTAAATATAGTATAACTGTTAGTATTTTTATTATTTGCATGTCCAATAAAACAAAATGAATTATTATTATCATCATCTGAAAATCTATACTATTTATTTCTTAATTAAATATTTATGTTTCATTACTCAATTCTTAATAACACTTAGTTTAATGATAATGAAATTATTACTACTGTTATAATTATCATTTATTTGTTTGTTTGTTTACTTTCCTTCAATATTGTTTCTTCCAAGTACTTACCTGTAATTTGTATTTGACTTTAATAAGTTTGTCTATAATGTAATTACTTTCATCTGCACTGTGCTCTGTCTGTAATTGGCCTTGCGGCTGTTGACTCGGCACATAAATAATAAAGAACTGAATTGAAATTGTCTTGTGATATAATCTTCTTCCTAAAACCTATACTCATCACTTCTATTTGCTATATACAAGGTTTAAATTCTGTTGAATATTACAGTTCAGGAAAAACTGAACACCACACACTACAAATATCAATGAAGCTAAAGGTGAAGAAGGCGGGCCTGAAATACATGTTACCATAGTCATCAGAGATAACAACGCTTCCGTTACATAAACTACGAATATTTCTCACAGTGCATCAAACGGAAAGGTGCAAAGTTATAGAGGGGCTCTACTGGAAACAGTATATCCTATACTACATGTTGACAGAACTGTCAAGATAAACTTCGAAAAAATATCACCAAATTACATTTTTTTTATGATTTATAATACAGTGATGTAACCAAAAAACTGTATTCTGCATGGCTTTCAAGTGTGAGTTGTGAGCAAATTTATAAAGTTGTATACAAGTATATCTCATAGACTTGAAAGGATTCTGACGATGGTGTATACTGTACTTTTTTTGCCTTGTATTTTGCATACCAGACGATGGATGAAGTCCAAAACAAGCCAAAAGACGTACAAGTATATCTGCCGGAAACAGAATTTTCTTTCAAGTTTGCTCACCTTCAGCTTTCCTAAACACAAGTGTTCTATGTATATTATAGTTCACAGTGTCCAGTGCGTTAGAGTAAGGAGGTTTGGATTGATGTAAATGAAACGTTCGCACTCGTACTTAACTCGTACAGACACTGGTGAGAAAATTCCTCCTGATGGATATGAGACAAGTGATAATAAACTAATTAAAAACGTAATAAGAAGCTCTGCAGTATAAGAGATGTAAAAAGTAAATAAAAAAGTAAATCCATCCCTCTAACATGCCGTGAAGGCCCATAGGGTTGTGAGACGTTGAGGGTCCCACATTATCTAGACAATCGGCTCAAATATGGCGGCAAGGTTGTCAGCCTTACGCGCCGGCTGCACTTTACTCCCCAGGAAAATTATTTAATGAATTCCTGGTACTCATTTCTGTTAGAGGCTGAGTCGACCCCAGGGCCATAGTGCGGCTGGAAGGATTAGGTCAATTAAAAAAATCCAGTGACCTCATCAGGACTTGCACCCGCGATCTTCCGGCTTGTAGCATAGTACCTCAAACACTACGCTAGGGTGAAAAACTATTTATTGCAATTCTATGAACTAGTTGGAGGAGAAGCAATACGTGTAGGCTAATGCTATGACAGCATACTTTCTTACAGATCGTGTTCTCGGTATTGGAGGTGGTCATTTTCAGCATTAGATTTGCCTCCACATATAGATGGCAGTAGTAATGCTTTCGTGATGTCACAGCGGCCAATGAGAACCAGCAAAGGTTTCGCCACGGACGGTTTAAAAATGGAGGACAGACTATTCGTAGGATTCACATCGATAGATATAACATAGTCGTAGCAGGAAAATCAGGACAGCTAAGATGGCATCCACATTCATGGCGGAAACACTAGCAATTGGCAAAACACCAGAAATCATCGAAAAAATCGACTCGGAACAAAACTTCATGATTTTCTCGGACTCAGCAAGCGTGTTGAAATGTATTAGTAACTCCTCTGTAATGAACAACACATCCCACATTACCCAGGCTCTTAAAGAGAAAATAGAGAGACTGCTATCACAAGGAAGAATTCAATTTTACTGGATCCCGGGGGCACTGCGGAATTGAAGTTAATGAGATGGCCGACTCGGAGGCAAAGCACGCAATGAAAGAAAGTAGAGATAGTCAATTGTTATTACCAGCGGCAGATCCTAAAACCCAGTGGAAAAAGAACGGCAAAGAAGAACTTCACAGTGTCTGTCAAAACAACGAATGGGACCGAGGAGAAAGCTACTTTGAAAGGTACTTCAGGAATGGTTCGTTTCCGTAGTTCCGCGTGATAAAAATAAACCGTCGTGCCTTCGTGTCAGCAAACCGTATGAGAGCAGGCCACACCATTCTTAAAGTAAGATTTAACATTGGGTTCAGGGCAGAATACAAGTGTGGTGATGGGCTGCAAACGGAGGAACATATCTTTTGGGACTGTAAACTGTAAGATGACCAACGGGCAACAATGATGAACATCCTGTCTGAGAATAGCAAAAAAGAATACCCATAGTCAGTTACAGTGCTCTTAAAGCTGGGAGAAATAAGATTTGTGCAAGGCGTCTGTTACTTCACAAACAGCATTCCTATATTTATATAAAATACATATGTAAGAAAAGTCAAAGAAGTAATTGTACTGATCATTATCAGTATACTCTCAGATTTAAGCTAAGACATGTATTAAGAATCACGGGGAGTCCGCTTTAATATAATAAGATTTTTATAAGAATGTGCTACAGAGGGCCGGATGGGCATTGCCTGGGTCTTTTTTTACAATTATTTTTCACAAGAGTCAGAACGGCCATGTTGCCCTTAAATAACCAAAAGTGGCCAGGGGCTGCCCAGCACACTCCCATGTCATTGGTGGGCAACATGGCCGCCATGACACCACGGTGCAATGCTACTTCCATCTCTACGCATCCTATATTAACTAAATTTA